AGCGGGGCCTGCCAGCTCCGCACTCAGCTGGGGGGGCCTGGCCTTCCCCTCCGAGGCGGGGAGCTGGGCTTGACTGGGGCCTTGTCCGTGTCCCGCCCCCCAGGCGAGGCTGAAAGGGCGAGGAAAAAGCCTCTGGGTCACTTGGCTGTGCCTGCCGCAGCGAGGGGCGATGTGGGAACGGGAGCTGCTCGGAGCCCCAGGCCAAAGCCTGTCTTTGCACAGGGGTGACTGATGTTGCCAAGTTTTGTCTCTGTGTGTGATTACTTTTTTTCTCCAGCGTACATCATTGTGCTTAACTTTTGCCTGTAGAGACAAGTACCGCTACTTTGCCTGTCTCCTGAGAGAACGATTTGATAAGAACAAGGATGTGAAGGATATGGTGAAAGCTACAGAGCTGCTGAAGGCAGGCGAGGAGGAGTTCTGGGCAAACCAGCATCCTCAGCCATACATCTTCCCTGACTCCCCTGGGGGCACTTCCTATGAGAGATATGAGTGCTACAAGGTAAGGTGGCCTGTAAGATTGTGTATTGCTGTGCCTACCTTACTGTTCTTTCAGTGAATGTAAAACAAGTGCTTTAAGTGGACTTTCATAGGGCTGTAGCTTGACTCAGCAGTATCATTTCTGTAATAGTTTGCTGCTGCTGAACATCTTGCTGCTTGCATGTGAGAAGCTGTCCTGCTTGTCTGGTCCTTGAAAACGGAATTTGCTGGTCTGTCTGAAGAGAGCTAGCTTCTTTTTGCTGGGATAATCATCTGCTCTTTTGCCAAATGGAAGCTGTGCTGCCCGTTGTGGTGCCATCTGGTCACAGCCTTGGTTTCTCTCTGGTCTTGTCAGGTGTTGGCTTGGCTGTTGGGGGACTTCTCTTCACTCTGTCCCATCGTTCTTCCAGCATTTTGAGTAATGGTAGAAATCATAATTTTCCTTCGTATGCTGTAGTGCCAGATATTTATTTGTGTGTCACTGCATGATAGGTGGTATGCCTAAAAATGGAAGCAGTGTTCTTGGAATCTAAGGTACTTCTAGAGGCTTTTTTCCCCCCTAGATTGTTCTATTTAGGAGTAAAGAAACAGGTTTCATAGAAGAAAAGAGGGTTTTTGCTTTCTTGGCATCGGATCCTAATGCATTATGAGAAGTTATACTAACCTAGAGAGTGCATGCACCCCACTTTCTCCTGAATTTGAAGAAAGTGCATACACAAAACTCTCGGATCACATTTTTATGCACAAGAAGCCGTGTGAAAGGGAGAATCTGATGTAGATTTGTCAGAGGCAGAAAAAAGAACATATGAGTGAAAAGGGAAGAGGAGGACTTAAGCTTGTGCCAAGGTCATGGGCCTTAGCAGTGATAGAGATAATAGTGAGAGAGAATCTGGACAGAAAAAAGGCCAGGTGAGAAATAAATGGTCAAGATTAGTCTTCACATAGAAACATAAACTGGTTTACATGCTCTTTTCTTTGCCCTGTTTGATGTGCTAAAAGTGTCCTTTAACAAAATGGTTGTCACAAGGATTTGGCTTGTTAATGTATCAGTGACTGTCCATTGTGGATGCTGCTACAAAATGTAATTTTTAGATCTCAGCCTGTTTGATGGTTTTAATTGTTGCTTGGTGCGTGTGGATTTTTTTATGTTATTATTAGCAGCTCTGCTATTTCTGTTCAGTCAAAGGTGTACTCAGTGATGAGAATCACAGCAGGAAACTGGAAGTGTAAGTGTCACTGGATGAATGATGGTATTGGAGCAACTTCTTAATTTTCTTTTTTTTTAAGAATTGGGGGTGGGGGGGTGGGGGGAGGGTGTTTTGGTTTTTAATCAATGTTTCTGTCTTTAAAACGTTAACATTCAGTGATAAGCTGCTGCAGAATTTTAAATTTTGCTTTTTTCTTTGACTGGACAGCTTAGAGGTCAGACCATTATTGAGATCTTAAAGGCCACTCATTTTTTCATTAGCTGTGGACAAGTGGAAATGAGCTGTAAGGTTCTGTCTCTGTCAAAGAAAATTAATTAGTAGTTGGAGAAAAATGATCTCTCTAACCTGCTGCCTTTGGGAGAAGGAGAAGAAGAAATGAGATCATCTCTTCCACCAGCTGGAATTATTTTGAGAACTTCAGAGTAAACTGAGATGACCTGGACTTGTCTTTGGGATGCTATGATTGAAGCAAGTCACTATGATGTCTTCCTGTGACTTAGGATAATGTGTGAAACAAAGATTATAAGTACTGACCTCTGTCATATAGTACCTTGAGACTAACAATAGTCTGGTAGCTCTTAAATGGTGTTTTTATGTAGTGCTTTATTTCCTGGGTTATTTATCCATTTTAATACTGGCTTCAGTGATTGTGTTCAGTTCTTTCATGTGTGTGTATTATATATGAGTTAATGTGTAAAAATAGTATATATGAAACTTCTATTTAACAGATACCTGAATGGTGCTTGGATTACTGGCATCCTTCTGAGAAGGCAGTGTATCCTGATTACTTTGCCAAAAGGGAGCAATGGAAGAAGCTGCAGCGGGAAAGCTGGGATAAAGAGGTCAGTGCTTGCTCAGTGCAAAGTAAAGCCTCTTTAGCACACCAGTATTTTGTGTGACATTTAGATGTGTTCTTGGAAAATACCCGAATGCCTGCTGTGGTCTCATTTAGACTCTGCTTTATTAGAACTCTTGTCAATGTGAAACACTGACTTGCCTTAAAACAACTGCACAGAGATCTCAAGAGTTACAGCTTTTTAAAGGCTGTGAAGGGAATTTGAAGTTAAAGCTGAACCTGCAACCATATTTCAGTTAGTGCAGGGCTGTTGTAGCAGCTTTCCTAAAGGAAAATTCCAGAGTGGGATGAGAAGAGGTTAATGACCAGAGAATTCCCCTTCTGCTGCTGTGAAGCTCTAACACTTTCTGGTTGTACCTTTGAAAGTGACTTACCACGGTGTTCATCATTTGGGAATAAAGAATAATTTCTGGCCAACCTAAACTGAGATTCAGTTGGAGAAAGTTGGTATTCTTAGAATAATTCAGTTGTAGAGAAATGGTTGGATTGTATGTAGTATGGCACTCCTATTAGAATTATCGTAGTGGCAGCCAGCACTTGAGCTGCTTCAAGAAATGTGTATTGAAAACATCTGAAGGGCTGTTGGTGGCATGCAGAAATAGAGGTCTCCTACTGACTGGAATGGAAGTTGTTTAGGACTTGTAATTAATTATCTGTCAGCTTTCAAAGCAAAAAGAGAATGCAGTCTGTTTAATGTTGCAATGGTAGACAAGAATTATGTGGAAATAATGACATTTTACTTAAAATTTCTTATGCAAATCACTTTCCACTCCTAAAAATTCCTTCTTAATTAGGTAATATGAGCCTGCAACGATTACTGAGTTTGAGTACAGAGAAACATGGAACCTGCCTGTCAACCACAGGGGTTACTGCTGGTTCTTCCCTTCTGGAATGGGGGCCAGTTTCGCTTACTGCCTGGGCACTGAATACCACATTATGGAAACGTGCTAAAGCAATTGTACTAAAGCAATTTTATGTCTTATCTTCTAGATTAAGCAGCTAGAAGAAGAAACTCCAGCTGATGGTCCGAGAACTGAAGCTTTGCCTCCAGCTCGTAAGGAAGGGCATCGGCCACCACTGTGGTGGCAGTATGTAACAAGACCTCGTGAAATTCCCATGTAAAAACATTATTGCACTTGGGAATTAAAGCGGTCCATCTTCTGTAGGCAGTAGACATGTCAGTGACTGCATGCTACTCTTAAGTAATACAAAATAAAGCCAAATAAAGTAAAACAGAAGCCATTTTTCTGACATACTGTTCTTCTGTAGCATGCACACATTTCCAGTTTGTGTGGTGTAGAACAGATGCCTGTTAACACCTACACTGTATGCCTAAAATGACAGAACACTGACCAGCCTGTGAGGAAGTCTTAATGGGATACTAACTCCAGAGCAAGTTTTACAAAGGTGAACATGTATTGCAGCTTTCACAGTCAGAGTTAGAAAACTCAACTACGAGACTGCGAAAATTGGCCACACAAAATTCATGTTCCCAGAGAAAGAATGTGAGCTTAAAGGGGTGGGAGAAGCAGATTTACTGGGGGACTGGGTGGAATGAGCAGCCAAACCGAGGGTAAGGCTGTGTGGCCACAGCCTGTCCCCTGTGGAGAGGGGAGGGGGGGCCTGGATGAAAATTAGTAATTGGTATCAGCCTGGTAACTTGGAATCTGGTACTAAATACAGGCAAGGTGGTATGTGCTTGTGCTACAGCTGGCGTTTCAAAATACTGACAGCAATGGACACAGGCTCGGGTTGTTCCTGCAATGAGGGTATTTCTAACCTTGCTTAGGGATAAAGGCTTCTTGCCCTCCCTCCCTGCCTCATTAGGCTTTTGGCTGCATTTTTCACCTGGGTATCACATCTCACAAGACACAAACCTTCCTTACATCGTCATGCTTTCTTGCTGCCATGGGTAACGTTGCTGTAGAGCACCACAAGAAAGTTCACCCCCATGTACATTGAATCCTGGAAAACTGTAGAGCTCTATCAGTTAAAACAAGTCGCCTGCTGAGGAGCGAGGTACAAAACCTGCTTGCTTCCAGCCATGTTCCCCAAGCATTGATAGAAGACACAAGAAATTTTGCTAACATTTCCGCTAACCTCCCAGTGAGTAAGAGAATGGATGGGATGTAGCCACCTAGTAAAAGCTCACAGGAAAACCTGACCTTTGGGGAAAGAAAAAAAAAAGCTTCACATATTCCACTGTTGAAAGTTTTGGTGTTACCAGGAAGCTGGATCTGTTCTACCCCTCCGTTAGTCCCAAGGCAGCAGCAGAATCGAGGTGTGCCCTTTGCCTGCCGGGCTGTGCGGCAGAGCCTCACCTTCACCTGCCCGGCACGGAGCTGCAGCTTCTCTCCGCCCGGCGTCGGTGCTTTTTCCTGCTGTTTTTCAATCCTGAAGGTACTTGTTCACAGGAAGAGTTCCAACCTGCACCCCTTTTTCTAACTTCTTACAGGTTTCTAATTACAAACACTGATTTGCCTTAGCAGCTACTTGCATTAGCCTGAATATGAAAGGCCAAAACCAGACGGGGGCAAAATTCACGGGGAAATACATCATCACAGGGCAAACCCAGCCAACCTGCCCTGCCCCTGCGCCCGCTTTGCCGCCTCCCCC